AATTTAAATACTCAATGTTGGAAAAAATGTGATGAGAGAAGTGCTTTCATACATTTCTCCTGGGACATCAGTTAGAGTAACTTTTCAGAAAAACGACTGGGCAGTATCCCCTGTGACCCAATATTTATGGTTTTAGGACTCTACCCTGGGCTGGGTTTGTGGCTCAGTGGTARAGCACTTGCCTAGCATGTTGAGGCCACGGGGTTCGATTCTCAGCACCGCATATAAGTAAACAAATAAAGACCCATTGACAACTAAAAAAAATAGTAATAATAACTAAAAAATAAAAAAGACTCTATCCTGAATAAATCTTAGGAACATAAAGGATCTGTACATGCCATAGATCTTCATCCTTACTTCCTTGGTAGCTAGCCTCTGTGAATACTGGTAACGTATCCTAAAGGTAGATGGCGGATTTGAAACCTAGCTCTGAAACACCAGTACCTATGTGACACTGAGTAAAGTAACTTAAATTCTCTGAGGTTTGGTTTAAATATCCATTTAGAAGTGTGATATCAGCACTCTCTCCTGTATGAAGGTTGTATGAACACCCATTTACAGTAAGTGGCCCAGAGTCTGACAGTCTGTTTTTTGGTTTTTTTTTTGTTTTTTTTTTTTTTCAGTAATAGCTAACTTTATTCCTTTTCTCTAGCTGGCTGGACTGAGATGATGGGACGTAACCAAAGCTGGATGAACCTAATTGTTCTTATGAGAGTTTTGAATTGTCATTGAGAGCCAGCTCATGAATCTATTTGTTGTTGGAAATATTACATATGACCATAGTCTTCAATGTCAACAGAGAACTTATGGAGAGTCTGCAGAGAAAGGGGGGCAGGTTTATAACACAACAGTAAAGGTAAGAAACAAGGARAATTCTCTGGACTTGCCAGTCCTTAGTTCTGCTCCGGCAACCAGGCTTTCTTGTCCTTACRTTTTAGGAAACAGAGTCTTTGTGATCAGCTCTTGTTAGTGTGATGATTCTTATCTGTTGGCCCCATTGGATCTGCTCTGTGTCTTGGGCTATGTTCTGTGCCTTGGGGACTAACAATGGGATTATCCCTCCAGCTTTACCCATACCCTCTTACCTTCTGATTCCATCTTTCAGCTCTTTAGTAACTTAGACTTCTCAATCCTATGATATTCTTCTATAACAAAGCCTATGCATGGAATTTTCTCTTATTCCCCCGAGTTACAGTTTTCTTTTAGTTTGGGCTCTTTGTCTTTTCTTCTTGTGTTTTTATGCTCTGTGGCTTCCTTTTTCATCTCAGGGTTATGATGAAATACTTGCCCAGAATGTATATTTGACCTGCTGGGACAGGGAATGACTTCCCCTAAGTTCCTTTCCATCGAGCCCAGTTATKATGTCTTCTAAACTACTAGGAAAGCTTGGACATTCTGGGTCCTGGCCAATTGTTCTTGCTTTTGTTTTTCTTTTAGGAAATCAAGTAAGCTTGAATGAAAGGGCTGGAAAAGATGGAAGAAGGGAACTTAGCTGAAGCTGTCATCACTGGGAGGCGGGCTCTCTAACATCTTCTGATTTTGGTAGGTCTGTTTTAAGCCAGCATCTATGCCCACTACAGAATGCTGCACCCCATTCTCTGGGAGGTATTCTGAGTGCCCCTCACTTTACGATGAAGCTCTGGAGACTTCTGCAAGGAAAGTTATCTTCAGTTGTTCATTTCTCTTTTAGCTAGTTTACTACCCTATTCAAGAGAGAAAAAAAAAAAAACACGGAAGAAAACCCATTGTTTCACTTTTTTCCATGTTGGATATGACTGATGGGAATTTTAGGGAACTTGTATATTTATGAAAGTCTTTCCTTTCCTCCCAGACACACAGGTAGACCATATTTTCCAGCCTCTCTTGCCACTAAGGGTGGCTACGTCATTGAAGTCTTCTGGCCAGGTGACATCTGCCACTTCCAAACCTATTCCATAAAAACCTTTTGATTTTCTACACTGTTTTCCTTAATGGAGAGCACTCTGAGGGCTTAGTAGAGGAAAGATCTGGAAGCTACCTCACAATRGTAGCCAATTTTGTACTGATAATTGAGTAAAAAACAACTTTGTAGCATATTAAAAACCAAGGTTTAATGTTCCATGTAATAAGTAGTCTACCCTGAACAATATTACCATCTTTACTGACCCCTTCGATTTCAGAGACATGCCATGCCATAATACCAAGTTTTGAATCTTTTCTTGACTACGACTTGGGGAAATTCAAGGCCTTCAGTTTATTTGTCTTTCATTGTTTTGTTCTACTGGTGATCTACTTTTTGGTTATTGTTTATTTGCAAGCTTTAACTAGTTTTATTTATTTAATTAGGAATATTTTTTGAACCTATGTCATTATTATCTGAACTTGACATAGCATGTTGTTGTTTTAAATCTATTATAACCATTTTTCTATTCTGTTTTGCAGTGCACGTAGGYAATTACAAACCCATTTCTTTTCCAGACTATAAGCTTCTTGCATTCAGGAACGATGACCTAGTTCTGGTCATTCTCATGGGTACCAGAGCAGGTGGTTCAAGTTGAAACCCAATATTATCAGACTAATAGGTATAACTTGTCATCAATAAGACAAAAAACTGAGCCTAGAATTATCTGCAAGTTACAGCTAAGGTAAATATAAGTGGACTAGATATTAAGAAGACACATAAAATATAAGTTGAAGACACAGCCATATAACAACATACTGATATAACCAAAGAGCCTCAAACATGTCTCAATAAAGCTGGAAAAATTAATTAGTTTAAAAAAGCAATGAGTCTCAATCACTCATCATTTTACCTATAATAAGAAAAAGTAAACACAATCTACTGGAGGGCCAAATTCCTTATCAATTATACAGAAACAATCAACAAATCAACTTTGGGACTCTCAACAGAAATCTAAACAAAAGGCTAGAGTTGTTAACATTGTTCAAACACAGACATGTTGGTTTTGCTGCTCATCAACAAATACATTTTGTGATACAAATCTCTCTACAAATCTCTCGTGACATGATCAATACTTCCTTTAAAGTGTACAGTCTACCTCATTACCTTTGAAGTGCTTTCTAATTCTTAACTCAGAAAAGTCGGAGAAACTACATACCCCTAGAGGGACAATAGATTTATGAATAGGACCAAATGGATAATTGTTATCTTGGACATCTTCTGACTTGACTGAGATACAGTCTGTTTATGATCTCTGTTCATGCACAGAAGTTTAAGGCCATGGCTGATAGCCCCTGGAATCTAAATTTTAGGCTATAACCAAAGCAATGTCTTTCTTTATCCCTTTTCTTATCATTATATTTCTCTCTTTTCATGGGTGGGTTGGGTGGAGGACCAGGGGTTGAACTCAGGGGATTATCATTGAGTCACATCCCCAGCCCTATTTTGTATTTTATTGAGAGACAGGGTCTCAYTGAGTTGCTTAGCACCTCACTTTTGCTGAGGCTGGCTTTGACCCTGTGATCCTCCTGCCTCAGACTCTCGAACCGTTAGGACTACAGCGTGCACTACCGTGCCCAGCTACTATATATTTATCTACTTATCATGAAACAGAAACAAATTATACTTTTCTATGAGTTTATATTCTCAAATATTTCTCTCTTCTGAACTCTGGGTACAAATGACTACTCAGTGCCTCAGCTTGTGTGCCCGATAGGCATCTGAAGTGGTGTTCCTACAGTATGCCCAGGCCACCAACAGCCTTGTCTCCCCCTGAGCCACTCCCATACTGTCTTCACCAAGTTCATTTATGGCTTTCTTCATTATTACACAGCGCCAAGTACCATCTTTATTTCTATTTTTTTCCCATACTCTTTAACATATCTCTTTCCTGTCATCTCTTCTTCTAAGATACATTTCTTTACACATCTACCATCACAAAACTAACCTGGGCCATTATCACATTTATCCTGGAGACCAACAACTGCTTCTTAACTGGTTTCTTTCTACACTTGGGTATCACCAATTCATCTACCATATTCAGCCAATGTGATATTTTATAACCATTAATCAAGTCACCAACACTCTCTTATGAAGTCTTAAAGGGCACTAAATAATCTCATCCCTTCTGTTCTCCATCTATATTCCAAATCCTTTCTTTTCTATTTCCTTTTAACTGTAAGTGGCATGCTTTGGTTTTTCAAGTACTAAGCTCTTWTTCACTGTATTTGGTTTTCCATTTGTCCATTAAACTCCTGTTAATAATTTCCTCCCACCTGGAAATGACTAGTGCCTCTTTCTCCCATGCTTCTTTTCTTGGGGTGGGGGTACTGGGGATTGAACTCAGGGGCTGAGTTCACTGAGCCACAACTCCAGTCCTATTTTGTATTTTATTTAGAGACAGGGCCTCACTTGAGCTGAGGCTGGCTTTGAACTCGCAATCCTCCTATCTCAGCTTCCCAAGCCACTGGGATCACAGGCATGCGCCACCATGCCCAGCCTTCCCATGCTTATTAAACATCACTCCTTGAAGAAGTCTTCCCAGATTCTCATCCTCTCTCTTTTCCATCTCGGATATGGTTTGTTCACTCAGTGACTTGCACAACATGGAGCACTCAGTTGGTACTCAATAAATGTTATTTGAATGAATGGTTATGAGAATTTCGTTCAGTGTAGGACCTACCAGGATGGAAACGACACTTTTATATGCTTTCCACCTATTAATTTATAAGTCAATTGTTTCCCATGCTTTATAACAAAAGAGGTGGGGGAGTTCTTTGTGAAATAAAGACAGGAGTTATTTTTGTTCTCCAAAGGGGGAAAAAAGCAAGGCTAATTCTGGTGGAGAATGTGCTRGTCAGGTCAAGATTTAACAAAAAGATAAATCAGAAATAGCTCACCAGAGGGGTSGATTTGTCCCATGTAGAGCAGAAGATGTGAACTCCTCTGCCATAGAGCAAGGCTTCAGTCAAACCTGCCTTGGTCACTAACACATTCATGTAGGAAGAGTCACTAAAGGAGCTAAGACTTACAACAGGGTCAACATGATTAAACCAAGTAGGTGCTCCCTGCAGCACAGACACTAAATTTGGATTAATACAGAGAAAATGAGTGTGGCCCTGCACAAGGAAGACATGCAAATTTGTGAATATTCTTTTAAATAAATAAATAAAGCAGATAGTACCCATGTAACATACTGCCATCCATAAAGTAGGCTCACACAAAAGAACCAGAAGATAAAGGATTTCAGAACAAGATTCAAAATGCATAAAACATAATGGAAATTTTGATACCTTTGAATATATTAAAATTAAAATTATATGAAAAAACCCCAGTATGAATACAATGAAAAGGCAAGTCACAGACTGAAAAATATATTTGTTGTGCACATAACTGACAATATTTTAGTACCTAGAATGTATAAAGAATTTCCACATTTCTCTTTGGAGGGCAATTTGGCTATATCTAGTAAAGTKGAAGATATTCGTATGAAAAACTTAGCAATTCCATTTTAGTCCAATCCTCCAGAGAACCCTTACACAGAAACATGGATAGGAATGTTCCTTGTAACATTGTTTWTTGTGGGTGGAGAACTAGAAACATCTTAAATAGACGTTTAATGGATAAATACATTATGGCAAAATTATACAAACTAAAACTATAAGGTAGTTATGACTTTAAAAACCTGCATACAAATATTCAACATTTGTGGATGTGAAAGCATGAATTAGAATATAAAGATATGCATGAGAATAAAGAACATAATATTCATGATACTGGTTCGCCCTGAAAAGAAATGGAATCAGTAAACCTGACAAAAATACGATTTTATAAGACCGGAAGGAATATCCATGGGGGCTCATGATGTTGACAGTAAAATCATGGGTATATGTTAAAGTCTATAAAAAACTAAATTAAAAATAACTTAGGAAATGAAAGATTTAAAAAAAAGTAGAATAAAGTAATATGAAAAGCAGGCAAAGTTAAACACACAAAAAATAGACACTCTACCATCCACACCGGGAGAAAAAAAAAAAAAGATTCTAAAACTGGAGCACTTATTGAAGGAATTCAACTGTGTTCTCAATTCTACAAGGTAAGTCCTCACATATGGGTCAGAGTAATGCACGGATTCAGAAATTTCATAGCCACAAATTTTGGGAGTTTCAGCCACTGCTGTGTTACCTTCATTTCAACTCTTCAATTTTACCTTCTGCCACTGGGCTACGTGCAGTGTAGACTGTGAGGAGTGATGGCGAGTGTCTTGCCTGGTGGACATATTTCTGAGTTAGTCTGACACAGGGAACATAAAGTGGTATCTCCAAGAGCAAATGAAATTATATTGTTACAAATAGGTAAGGGCTCCAGCCAGGGCATAACAGGCATACTGCCTACTGATCACTCTAGGCTGCTTTCTTTACCTAAAATAATCCAGGGTCTTTTGTGTTGGAGGGAGCCATGGATCTTTCTACTCCCCAAGCAGCAAGAGCATCTCTTYTGCACTTCTGTCTGAGAGAAAACTTCCTATGGTAGAGGGGAAAGGAAAAAAAAAAAAATATATATATATATATATATAGCAAGAACTTGAACTCTGAGGAGAAAAAAAAATGGGTCATGTTTTTGTCTCATCTTGCTCATCCTGGAGAAACTAAATTCACTTAGTATCAACAAGGGATTTAACCTCCTTGTAAAGAGGCTAAATTTTTATCATAATATAAAACCTGACACAAATACAACTGAATTTAAACCAGACTTGCTTTTGGTCTTTGTTTTTTTCCCGGCAAGATCTGACAGGCACTAGCACCCAAAAGAAATTAGCAATGTAAAAATATTTTCTTTTTTCTTTATAACTCAAGTTCTTTCACTTTTCTGCCCCATATTTTCTCAGTTTCTAACAATTGCCATGACTGTAGTTTGTGGGGTCTCATTCTTTGCCACACCCCAACCCTCCACAGCAAAGTCCAGAGGCACCAGCATTTTCCTTGCTTAATTCTCCATGGCCAAGATGACTAGGATCTCTATTCCCAAAGAAGTTTTTTGCTACTACCCCAGCTTCCAGAGCTTAGAGATAGGGAACTTCCACCCTGTACCGYGTCAACTCTACCTTCTACAGAGAGCAACAGGTTGTGACAGCTTCATGAAGACGTTACAGATGGATCCCAGCTTGCAGTGTAGATTGTATTTTATTTTTAAACTACTTCCAGCCTAAGTTGTGTAATACGAATGCATGTGGCACCTCTAGGGGAGGACTGTTTCTCTACTTAGCAGGACACTCCAGAGGTGGTGAGTTGACATTTATTCAGAGATCACACATCAGAGGTGACATCCGCCAGGCTTCATCTAACTCTCTTAGATTAATACCAGATGTTTGTCAACCAATGTACTGGATTTAAATTGATTTTTACTGATGAAATCAGTAGCTTGTTAGTAAGTATAATGAATGTTAGATATGGACCTTCACTGAAGAACACAATGACATTCAAGATATAAGGACAGGTTGGGTGAGRTGGTACACACCTGTAATTCTAGCAGCTCGAGAGGCTGAGGCAGAAAGATTGCGAGTTCAAAACCAGCCTCAGAAAATTAACAAGGCCCTAAGTAACTTAGTGAGATGCTGTCTCAAAATAAAAATAAAAAAGAACTGAGGATATGGTTCAATGGTTAATCACCCCCCCACCCCATTCCCCGGGTTCAATTCCTGGTACCCCCTCCCAAAAAAAGGTACTAGGACAGGAATATAGCATAAACAGAAATCCAACACACCTGCCACCCTTAGTAATGGCTCCATAATTAATTCTAAGATGCATGTTTAGAAGATTGTTGACCACTTGATGCYAAAAAAGGAACATGGTTTGAAAATTTATGGCACAGAGGAAAGTACACATTTGCTTTAAATGAAACTTTCACAAGGTGAATTTAGAGCAGACCAAAGGAGAGACCCAGGACTTCATTGAGTTTGTAGCACCTTGTGCCTGTTTGCTTTAGATTTAAGATGCATAGAACTCTGCTTGAGACTTGCTTTCCTTATTCCACACAGAGATACTGGGAAGGGACTAGAAATCCTGTCTGTCCTTAATACTAATGGGAAACTAATAGAGTGCACAGCCAATTTAGTGTAAGTCAGTTTTTTAGCATAAGAACTAAAGGAGATTCAAATAATGATCTGAAAAGGAAGCAGAAAAAGGAAAGGCCAGAGGATATAATTGGRCAATACACAGTGGACAGAAAAGAGTTAGGGACAGATAGACCTACCAAGACAAAGAAGAACGGAAGGCATCAAACAGGATGAAAAATTCAGAAAAGAGAAGGCAATATTAAAATATATATCCAAAACTTGAAAAAAGATAAGAAAATAGAGGTTACAYTTACTTTCAATATAATAGGTATACTAACAGGTCTCGCCTGGGATTCTTCAGTTTTTGTAGGAGAATGTGCCTTTGTGTAGCTACTTACCATATTTAGGATTTATAAACTGTGAAGAAATATGTTGACTTTAGATTTTGTCTGATAAACATGCAAATGATGTCTAAACAGGAGAAATGGCAAAGCCAAAAAATCACGATTTTTATTTTCCTTTGAAGGTGAACAATTTTTTTTTTTTTTTTTTTTTTTAGTAATCTAAATTCAACAACTTCAATCCTGCAGTCTTTCTTTCAGAACCTATATATATCCACTTTTTTCAAATTCTCTTTGAACCAGCTCTAACATCCTCCTGGTTCCCTCACTAATGAGTTAAATAAATCTGTGACATGCTAGTAGTGCTTAAAATTCTTTAAAATTATACTTTGGAATAAAGTTAGAAGAGTTTCCAAATCACTTATAAGTCCTTTCCAATGGCTCCAAGAGCTAAGAGATAGAATGTTGTTTTATTACCATGGCTCTCCAAATACCTACACACAGCTAACTATATTTCCAAACACCTACCTATATTTGTTTGGTAAGAAAAATTTTTATTCCCATTTAATATATACAAAAACAAAGATGAAGAGGTTAATTAAATTTGCCMGGATTAAAAGTATCAAGAATTCATAATCTAGTGGATGCCGTTGGAGGGTTTTTTTTCCCAAAATTATACAATCTTTAACTTCCATGAATAGAATTTTAAAATGAAATTAAAGAATTGCTACATAAATCACTTCCATCTTAAGCAACTTCTCAGCGCTTAGGCTACATGCTGCTCCCGGCACTTGGTGGAAGACTTTCAGCTGTAGTCTGGCCAAGATCTCCACGCCTGAGGCTGATTTTCCTTCAGCTGCGAGGTGATCTGCATTCTTATCAAGAAAGCAAGAATGCTTTATGAACTTTTTCCTACAAAATAGTTAGATGACATCATCTTGGATTTTGTTGTAACTAGGACATTTAGGGAACAATACAATTATTATTGYAATTTTTGAGCTGACAGAGAAAGAAAGAAAATAAACCCAAGAAATCAAAATGTTCTAAAACCAACATTCTCCTCAGTTTTGAGGTTCAAGCTAAGAAATGTTTTATCTTCCAACTCAGTTTTTCACTGTCTTTCTTCCTTTACAACATGAAAATTGATTTTGATATACAAAGAAAGGACTGGGAAATAAGAACTTTAATGAGGCTCCCAAAGAAGAAATGTTGACTATTTTGAAGGCAAAATGTGTTGATTTTCAGGTCATCTCATTCGTTTTTGTCTTCTGATGTGTGTGCTATACTGWGCTAGATACAGTCACCTGAGGAACGGTTGGGTCTATTTTAGAGAGACAAAATGACAGAGAGCAGAGAGTTCAAAATTCCAGCATTAGATGTTGTGAGACAGACCACAAGTATTACAGAAATTTATAAAGATGGGGTGGGGTTGAGTAGGGAAAACCAGGTGGTCTGGAGACACAGGAACCTCTAATGCAGAGATCAAATTCCATTGGCATCTTGAGAAATCTATACAGCTGGAGTGCAGGAAAAGATTTCTAAGAACAAGATGTATCTCTCTTTAGAGAATTTAGACTGGAAAATGAAATAATAAAAGTGCTATTGAGTGCCTACTCTTTTCCAGTATATAGTACATCATAACTTGCACATGTCACCTGTGTGATTAATTTCATCTACCAACATTCCTATGAAATAGATATAATTATTCCCACTTTCCATATGGAGATGAATGATGTGGTACCCAGGATCTTAAACAGGGATTTCCAAG